TAGATAGATAGATAGATAGATAGATAGATAGATAGATGGATGGATGCATGCATGGATGCATGGATGGATGGATGCATGCATGCATGCATGCATGCATGGGTGGGTAGGTGGACGAACGGACGGACGGATGGTCGGATAGATGGAGGGATAAATGGATGAGTGAAAAGATAGATGGATGGATGCATGGGTCCTTACAACATCAGTGCCTGTTACTTATTTAGGAGAAACCTTACGACGAACTATAGATAACAGAGAATCCGGCAAAGTGATGCAGAAAACAACAACAACTAATAAATCAGAAAAACACTTTTCTTGAATTTTAGCCAATGGGATTTTTAAAAGCTCGCTATTTTCAGACTAGATCAACTAGAGTATTCTCCAGGGTTTACAATGATAAACTGGTGAAAATGACATTGCTACAGAATATAACGGCTAACATTATTTAGTTAGTAGTTACAAATAGTGCTTCTAACATTGTAAATTAAAATGTGGAAACTATTTATAATATACTCAAATGTTTCATAATTGAACTTTGCTGAGATAAATTTTTATTGACAGGTGCAGGAATAGAGATATTATCAAGAGTACATAATAGAGATGTATGTCTATCATGTACTCTTGATAATATTCAAGCAAATTGCGGCTTCAAGCAAACTATTTTAATTATACTTACACATTTAACTATCACAATAAATAAGTGAAAAATAGGGATATAAATAGTTAAATTAAATTCAGGTTTATTCGGTAGATCACCACTCTTCCTCTCTCCTTTTCAATACAGGTAGTGATGAAAACATACATGGACAAACGATTTTTTCCTGGCGGACTACTTTCCGATATAACATTTTAAAAAGGAATATATAGGCCGCAATTACGAAAACGTGGTTTCTGATAAAATTCCTATTAGGAATATAAGAATATAAAGGCCCTAAATGTATTACCTTTACGTAGAACTGTGCATTAATGCGGCAATTTTCATTTGTGGTGATTTATCATAGTTGCTATGGTAACAGCATCAGTATTTCTATACGTACGTATGGTAAGCACTGGAAATCTCCGATATTATTAAGTACTACGTAGTTGTACTCTCGCTCACTTTAACCTATGCTTTAACATATCTATACAAAAGGTTATTGGGCTGTCATGCATTACAACTCAACAACCTTTAGAAATTAATATATTTTAACAATGGATACGATAACCAATAATAAATCACAGGCTTGGAACAGAAATCATCTACACGTATATATATATATATATATGTATATATATATAAAACAGATCTACAAATTCCAGTGACGGGCGTACGTCTTTTGATGGTAATAAATTTTGGTTATTTAAACACATCCATTTCGTAGGATCGCGCTCTATCATCGTGACTGATACTCCCATCTTAGCACGTTCCGTAAACTTGTTGACGTCTTCTTTGAGCCACTGTCTTGATAGACCGCGCAAGATTTTCAGGAAATTGGCAC